TACTCTGTATTCACATGATAACTGGACGAGTGTTGCCTTTTGATTATCTCAGAAATCACCCAAAAGATGTAAGAAGGCAATGATTATAAGAAATGACATTCATCACTGCCATCACATCTGCATATTTCAGCAAATATATATTAGATAAATTCATGAAAGGATTTTTGGTGATGCAGCTGCAAGCTAAATAGACATAATTGTTATCGTTACCCTTGTCAATGGTGTGTTAACTTTGCACTCACCAGTGTCGATAGACGCATTAAAAATTTTGTAATAATATATATTCACAGGGTAATACACACACTTCCTTAGTTACGTGCTCATTAAGTATAAAAGGAATGCTGTTTAATGTCTTGCGAGCAAAGCAAGAAAGATATGCACTGATGACCTCTTACAAAAGGAATTCGAATATATTCATGATTCCTTGACGGAGATGGGCTATCCGAGTAGTTTCATAAAGAAACATCTGAAAACATCAGAGAAAAAACCTTAGACTCTGACTGCACGTAAGAAACCTCTATTTATTAAGTTATAATTTAATGGTAACTTATCAAGTGAGGTTTTATTCCAAAGACTTTCAAGGAGTATACAAAGAACATTCTACGCAGCACACCTATGTTTGTCATTCTCTAGCCGACGAAAGATTGGGACACAGACGAAGTATAAGCTAGATAGTTTTCCCACATCTAGGTGCATTTATCAATTCAGCTACACCTCCGGCGACAGTTATGTTGATAGTACTACTAGACAGCTTAGCCAACCTGTCACTATTGAACATCTCCCATCGTGGTTTTATCAAAGGACACACCAAAACAATCCGTAGCTCAATTTTGTCACATTTAGTTGATATCGGTCGTGTAGTAGTGGAGAAAACGAAAGCCTTCAAAGTAATTGATCGTACCCCACCGAATCTTTCCAATAGACTTCGTATTCGTCTACTGCACACAGCTGAGGCGATAGGCATTCGAACTATCAAACCTAAACTATGCATTCAAAAAAGTTCGTACAGCCACTATCCCTCCCTTGACCTGTTGAGACTTAATCAACTGATAACTTCTCCACCACCCCTTACTTATATTTTCAAACCCTTTCTTATCATCGCTTAATCGTATCACATCTTCATTATAAATGTGTCTCATGTACTTCCCTTACAATCTAACATTACTAAATCAGTTCATTTGTTTTTACTAGCCTTTATCGACTACTTCTACCTGAACATTTGTTTGTTGAATCGTGCTGTTTTTCATTATTCGTGTTATCACAGATTGCCTCACTTTTTCATCCCTATGATTGATAAGACCATTATTATTATTACTATTATTGTCATTACTACTATTATGACTAATTGGATAATTTATATTCACCATCTTATTATCCTATAGACACCATGATGAGTTTATATTTGAATTTTTATTTGAAAAGTTATGTATATTAGAGTTAAGCCTGATAAGATCTAATTGAAAATAATATTATTCACTTAAATGTGTTGTTGTAATAATAAGTGGTTATAAATTTGTCATATTTTGCAATCCAGCCACTTCAGGAGAAACAGAATTCAAGAAGTCTTTGTAGAAGATAAATCGAAGCATCAGAAACATCATAAAAAAAGAGGTCATGAGCAGCTAGATTCGACAGAATCATATGTTCTCCTAGTATCATTTTCTAAACGCCGGAATGTTCTTTTGTATTTTGTTTTCCCTTAAAAATTTGAATCGTCTTGCCTGAATGTACAAGTCAAATTTTCTTACAGTTTTAGGTACAAGACAAAATTGTGAAGAACAGTCTCATTAAGTTGCTTGTTCTTATGTGTGGCAAGATTATTTAGGTGCGTTATCAGAAAAATAGTGTTGATCTGTGGCAAAATGGCAATGGTGCATTAACGGCTAACCGTCTTATAGATTCCAAAAATGTTTGTCTTCATTGATCGTCTTTCTCATACATCATCGTTCATAATTTTGGCATCAAATCTTTTCCTTTAGTTTCACCTGCGATTTTCTTAAGTGTAGCAACCCGAAGTAATGCGCTAATGTGCATAGTTCTACTTGGTTAGGTAGGTTAGTTAGTGGTGTAATTGATCTGAGTAACAACATTGTTTCTCATCATCTTTAAACCCCAAGAGGCTCACTCATCACATACTACGGTGTGAAGAGTTGATACACCCCAGATACTTAATTTGATTTTCGTGTTTATGCCATTGAACTAACGTCGACTAAAGCGTCGTGGTTGTATAATTTCCGTAAAGAAATAAGAGTAGTTCATAGCCTGTTACATAGGCATTTATTCGCTAGATGGTCTGGGTTCTTCGCTTCTGCAGTGAATAAACCTGGAGACAGTTTTCACTGTTGATGTCGGGGGAGCTGTTGTTCATTGGTTTAGGTACTCGAATTTCAGCCAGTGGTTAGGGAATTCACTTCCCGTTCTATCTACCATGGTTTAGAATGTAGCTCGTTGCGTGCAAATTAAAATGGTTTTATGAAGGCTGCTTTTTTACAGAAAACTAATAGTTAGGTAACTCGTCGCTTACGCTTCATAAAAGTCTGTAAATAATCGACGCAAACCTGATATCTATGGTCGGCCTGCAAAATTTGGGCTACCGTTATCTATGCTGAAAATTCCATACTTGTACCAAAAATACGGTGTGGAATCAAGCTATAATCAAAAAAAATAATAAAGAATTAATTTTAATTTTGCGTGATAAACTGGATATATTCATATAATATGATTAAATACTCCGATTACACACACATCAAGGAAAAAAGCTACGGATCAACGGAGTTCCCTTGGAGTGTATGTGGTATGATGAAGTGAACTGTCGCCAGTGTAGGACGGAGGTAAAATGACATTCACAAGTCAACCAGTGAATTCTCACTAGAATGATAGGTTGAAGTGTTGTTTACCATAATAACTGGACGATAGTTGCCTTTTGATTTGAGACTTTTGAGCGATACACACCGTGTGATTTGTCTTTTGTATTTGTAGATGATTAGTTACATTTAAAGTGCTAAATTGCGTAGAAGAAATCTAAAGGAAATTTGTTTTTTTGGACTATAATCATATTTGTGTTTCTGTATTTGGAACTCGCGCTAATACCTGAACTTAGCAGTATACTCCCTACCACTGAATAATTAAGACCATATTGTTTCTGTGTCCAGTATATTGAATCCTGGTTCTTGGTGCTGTGAAAGTATCTACGTAATGTTTTATCTCATGAGCTTCTCTTATTTTAAAGGAACTATGACAGGTATAGCAAAAGGGTGAGCTTATATATCAACTTATTCTACACTTTATGTGGATGAAAAAGTAGCTCTTCTCAGTGAGAGTGGCACATGACTACTCTGATTGAGTTTTATCGCATAGTAGGTTACTTGATGACATTTTAAGCGGAAATCACTTCTGACGATCGTTTAAAGGTACTCACATAACTTTGCTATTTTATTCCCGCTACAGACAGCATTCTACAGGTTATATAACTTCATTATCAGCCAATCGGTGTCATTCAGGAACGTTATTCATCCTATATTCTATGCTGCTGGCTATTATTTCTATCACTGTTCTGTGGGATTGTCAGGCATTACTGGTAACTCTCAAAAACTTGTTTTATAAGTGATTTTTCTGGAAGTAGAAGACTACCAAATGGTGACGTCATGTTTCCTATTACTCTTCCTTTTCTTTACCTCACTCCGGAAACCCGAAATTTTCCCCTATGTATAATGTTCTTATTTCCAAATCATTTCTGTACTGTGTGTATTGCATGAGACTAATTTTCGAGTTTGCGCATTTCATCATTTCCATATCTGATATGCAGTTCCACATATATTTTTCCTAATTGACACTAGCCTCTAAATCTTGGCACTTTCTTCCAAGCCGCTACCTAATTATGCAATTTGGACTAGAGTTTGTATTTCTTATTTCTTGTCTGTCTTCAACTAAGTATGTTAGTCTAACCAGAATTATTGGAGGGAAACACGCTAGCACTGTTTGTAAACATTTTTAAACTTTGGAATCTTTTCTCAGATAAAAATTGCTTGCAGTTGTTTTTGTAATTCTTAGTCATTTTATGTGTGTGTAATCTGTTGGACTGTAAACCTATTGAAAACAGGTATTGATTTTGAACTGAGTAACAAGGACTCAGTTTGCGAAAACAGATATTTGTTGTACCAGGCTATGAACTACAATTACCTCCATAAAGGACCTGGTACGGTTGAAGGTGACTAGACTTTGGTTTTCCTCTCTTAATCTTCCCATGTAGCTACGCATCGATAGCCTCTGTCGGGGAAGTCCTATTCCTTGCATTTACCCGGGAAGGGTGTTCCTCAAAAAAGTGGAAGGGAAGATGCGAACGTTTTATGCTTGAAACGGGACTGGTGGACATGTTCGTCTATACAGGGGAGGGGGAGGTGCTGGAAAACCCTGGTTCTAAACCGAAGGTGTATATGGGATTCAGTATCTGAATGGATCAAATGAAATATAAACCTGTTTTGGTAACTTGCAGCTATGGAAACTCAGCTTCTGATGTTGTTTTCACTGCCTTGTGGATCAGACTTCATGTCAAAGGCTCTGCGGATGGTGAGGCCTTAGGACAACCACCTGCTTCTGTCTGGGTGCCCGGGCTGTTTCCCAGTCCTCGCACAAACTATGAAGCAACAATTTATTTTTTTATTATTTTTTGTGGTGCACATAACGTACCAAGTAATCATTTTATAATAATTTTTTATGAGCCATAATTTTTGTGTGTGAACTGATAACACTGCGCATTCGTCAAGTGTGAATTAGGTGGTCGGTGATTTGATTTCGGGACCGACTGTCTAAAAATTCTGTATTAAACCCAGGGAACCACGTCTACTATTTATTGTTTTCGTACTCACGTAGCAAATATTTCACACTTTATTTTTGTAACTGCTTATATTTATTTGCCCGTATTATCTACATTTTAGATATATTAACTCTCTTTTTGGTCTTTAAAGTAATGCTGATTTGTAAAAGTTAACAAACAAAACTAAATGGTCAACGACAATAAGCCACTTGATGACAAGGTCATCATATCACGTCGTACGTTGAATACATTCGGCGGTGTTTTCTGTTCAGTTACTCTATCCCAATTCAGTAGTGTTATATTTCTACGCTTAGGTAGGTGAATTTTTAGAACAAATGTAATCTTATATTTCATTTTCAGGGTTTATTGTTGCTCATGCTGGTCTACTGGAGAGTATACTACAACTTTGTCTTTCGTACCTGATCTTGTTACTGACGGTATTTTCTATATGCGCAATTAGTACAAATGGAGCAGTTGAAGGAGGAGGTGTATATTGTATCCTTTTTTTTATGACGCATATAAATGCTGCGGAGTTAGTTTTCTGTTTTAGGTGCTAACTATCTCAAGATGCATTTCTTATAAACTACGCCTTACTTTATAAATGCATTGAGTTGTTATGCTGTAGAATACAATCAATACTTGACTCTGTTGGAGGTAACTGTGTGTGTGTGTGTGTGTGTGTGTGTGTCAATGGGTTGGTCGCAAATCATGCGAATACACTCGACTTTCAATGTTGGCTTTTCTACTCTTTTAGATTCCTAATGATGAATTTTCAGTCATCAGACATTTTGTGAAAGTTTGGAAATTCCATCTGGGATAGGAAAGTTAATAAAAATAATTTCGTCATTTATTTTCCTTCACGTTCCCAGTGAAACATAAAGCCTCAAGCTGGTGGCTTGAAGTTTCTGTAGCAATTTTTAAATTTTACAGGATTGGGTTGCTAGCCTCATGCCCAACCTTATCAGCATTATTTCTGGCTTAGTAAGGTAAAGAAGTGAGTCGACTGGGGTTCGATCCCACACACTGCTACAGAAACTTCAAGTCACTAGCTTGAGGCCCTATTTTCCACTGGGAACGTGAAGGAAAAATAAATTTCGTCATTATTGTGTATACATCCTTCTCTCACCATTCTCCATTGAAATATTCTCTGTCCCACAGTCTTTGTTAAGCGTAATGCTGTTAAGTTTATTTCCTCTTTTATGCTTTTTTGAGGTGTGGCAATGTAGATTGCCGTGGTTTGGCTTAAAGTCCTGTGTCTGGTTGTCAGTAATTCAGTCTCTGTGTGATAGTAATACATAGAATCAGAATACCAGTACAAGAAATGACATATCCGCTTGTGTAAAAAGTAATGGTAATAATAATAATAATAGTAATGACTTTATTCCCAGCAACATATCTGATAAGGAGGTATCAAGGTGGATGTGCACTGAGGCAACCTTTGAACTTATTTTTAGGCAGTAGGTTATCTTGTAATGACTATACGCTTTTGTTGGCTCAAATCGAACGTACACTGATGTTCATTTTGTATATCTGATAAACTGATTTCTATCGACACTTAGGTTTAAACGGTTACCATTCATTGACCAAATTGTACTTTTTAGTATTTGGTTAAAACTGAAAAGAAAAGAGGAATCAAATAATGATGTTTGAGTGCTTTGGTTCTGTTTTGTTCAACTAAGATATAATTTTTTGTACCACCTGACATTTACTTCTTTACTGACTTGTCTAACACATTATTCAATGTAGTTTTGATTTCGTTGTTATTACATGGTTGGGGGCAATCCTTGGAAAGCCCTACCTAACCTAGGTCTAGTGCTTCCTGGTACTCGTCAGCAAGGCGTATCTGCAACCTGTTGCAGCTAGAGAAAAGTCACCATTGAGCCATTTGGGCGTGCGATTGACCTCCTGTATCAGATACATTGATTAAATACTAGTTAGGCAGCGAGCCACCTAGATTGGTAGCCATATGCCCAGGATGCCCATTATCCCCTTTTCTATTCAACTTCATCATAGATGTGTTAATGGACTTAACCCTAAGTAACTTCAGCGACTCAGGGATTGACTTGCTACCAGGGAATAATCTCGTTGACTTGGAATATGCAGACGATATAGTCCTTCTAGGCGAAGACGCTGACGAAATGCAGAGTCTTCTAAACACCTTGAGCCTCAATCTAGGAATGTTTGGCATGCGGTTCGCTCCCGCCAAATGCAAGATAATGTCACAGGACTGGACTACATCAACGCCTAGTTTAAAAATAGGATGTGAAGTGGTAGAGCACGTTGACCGCTTCACTTATTTGGGAAGTACCATCAGCCCCAACGGGCTGATCTCTGACGAAATCTCAGCACGAATACAAGGGGCTCGTTTCGCATTTTCCAGTTTACGCTGACTCTGGCGTAGACGAGATGTTCGACTATCGACCAAAGGGCGGGTGTACTGCTCATCAGTCCGCTCCGTCCTCCTTTATGGCTGCTAGTGAGACCTGGCCACTGAGAGTGGAAGACATGAAAAGACTAGCTGTCTTTGATCATAGGTGCCTGCGTTCTATTTCCCGTGTGAAGTGGCATAATAAGGTGAGCAACATTGAGGTTAGGCGTAGAGTTCTAGGTAAACAGGGGAAATCAATCGACGAAGTCGTGAAGCTACGAAGACTGAGATGGTTAGGACATGTGTTACGTATGCCAAGCCATCGCCTCCCTCGACGAGCAATGTTAGCGGATATAGGGTCAGGCTGGAAAAAAGCTAGTGGCGGTCAAACAAAAACTTGGCATCAGTCAATGAAATCCACAACAGTTGGTCTAAGCCACGTAGGAAGGTGTAGACTTCCAGGCTGGGGTCCTCGAGACGGTAAAAATCTATGGTTGGAAACAATTGGTGACATGGCTCCAAATCGTTCTCAATGGCGCAGATGCATCCACTCCTTGTGACTTATGATCTCCAATGAAACTGTTTTGTTCTTCGTTATTACTCTTCCTTTGTCTCACACCTCTGCTCACTGTCTCTATTATGCTTTTCTTGTACTTTCTTCTCTTGCTTTGTGTGCTACATGGAAGGAGTGTGGCGACTTGAACTTCCGCACATTTGTGCAAAGTCCTATGTCGAAAACAGACAGACAGGTAGCCATATAACAAAACTGACTGACTAGACGCATGACACTAGTCACACTGACTACACAATGTTCAATCAAATTTTTTGATTTCCCTGTGTAAATATGAATGTGGTGTTGGTTTCCCCAGTTAGCATTTCTTTGTTTTTATTTATGTTTATTTGTATATGTATATGTATGTGACCTATCTAGGACGCTGACAACTGTCATACATCACATGATGACTGAATGGATCATTATTTATTGTAGCAAGTAACACACTAACTATTGATCTGTAAGCTTGTTTAATGTGAAGTAAGAATTTCTTTGCTTCTGAATCGATACCATCATCAAGGTTACGTAGTTTTGTCTGTATTTTATAATTTTTGGGAATTTTGTTGATATATTTGAAAAAGGTAATTAAAATTATGCAAAATGTTGTATTCTTAAGTCAACTTATACAAATTTGTTTTCTCTATGTCAGCGTGTCTCCTATTCACATTTTTATGCGTATTTCTGCACTTTTCACTCCATTCAATTCTCTCTTCTTTTTGTTTGTAGTAAAACAGTATGCCTTGTTTTCTATCTGGAGAGTAGTGATATTAGTGATAGCATACTTCTCCAAAATAAGCTGCTAAACTTAGCCTATCTGATTGATTATCCTGCTTTCTTCGGTGTTGGTCTCTGTTGGTATTTCACATTTGGTTAGTGTGTCATAAAATGCACTAAATGTGGTATTGACACATCAATCAATCAATCAATCAGATCAGATCAGATCAGTCATTGAATTCTGAATGATAAGAAAAGAAAGAGCCACTATGTTAATTTTGCTTCTATTCTTCCAGGGACTTTTTAGATCAACTTCTGTCTTCTTTACTTGTACGAAAAGACTGAGAACATGAAAAAATAAATATGCTTCGAGGGATTTTCACTTAACAACTAATTCATTAAATGACAGTTATTTCTAGATTGATAGGCTTAAGTTGTTTGCACACTAAACAGTGTTTCGGTCACCTGATATGTGTGTGTGTGTGTGTAAACTGTCCCAGTGTAACGGCAGAAAACAAGAGACTTGGTTATGGATTGTTTATTTGGAATTTGCTATCTCTGTATACACCTTATCTGAAAATCGTCAGATATCCTCTGTTGTGTGCTACTTCTGCCCTTCGTATTGTATTTCTTTGTCTTCTTTTCGTGTCTCCCATGTTTTTCCACAACTCTTGTTTCATATTCTCTCTTTGAGACCAACTCTATGTCTCCGCTACTTGACGTTTTTATGCTGATGAACTTCTCTTTTTAGTTACTACTGATAAATCTTTTCAGTAGCATGATGTAAAATTTTCTGTTCACCATTTTTTCATACCCTATATTGGTTGTGTATCGCTAAATCCCTTAATGAAAAACAAAACATAACACAACAAAATAATAACCAGTCATGATCAGTAGAACTCTTGGTCCAGAATTCGGTGGGGCTATTGGATCCATATTTTTCTTGGCACAAGTTTGCAGTGCAGCATTGTATATATCTGGATTAGTGGAGGCTGTATTAATTAATTTCGGTCCTGGAGGTAAGTGAATTCACTGGTTAAAACATTTTGTTAACAGGCACTTATTTATCTATATTTATACATCGGGAAATAATCCCATTTAATAAATCACTGAAAACATTGATTGAGCACAGTTTTTTCTATTTAATTTCGCGTTATAAAAGAAGCATTTTGTCTGTATTAAATACTAATCAGTACTTTAGTGGGTACTGTTTGTTGGATAAACAATCAACCTTCTCATAGTGAAATAGTTATTTTGATTCTTTGGAAGGCAGCTAACTAGAGTTGTGTGATGCGAAAATATATCCTTACCACAGTGTGAGATTTGAAGGGTCAATACAGAGGTTTCTGTTAATTTTTATTATTTTTTAATTGCCTTTTTTTCAAAGAAATTATTCTGCTGTAGAAATAATACGAGTTTTCACGTGATTAAGTGTTGACAATAGGAGTTTGTAAAGCACCTTTGGATCTTTTAAAAATTGTTATTGTTTTACACAAATGCTAAGAATACACTGTGAATTTGCTGATAAGGTTGTTTCAGTATACCAGCTGTTGCACTTGAATATTAAAGATATTGACAGTATAATTCCTAGTAATGGTTACTGGATTATGCTATGAATTACGAGTAGATAGATGTGTCTCATTTACTTAGACACTTGGCTTTCAGCTAGTGGGTCCCGGGTACCAATATCAGATCATAAACCTCAGCCTTAGGGACTGGATAGCATCATCAAGCCTCACACTAATTCTGCGGTTCCTAGCTTCATACCTAATGATATGTTTCCATTAACTGAGTTCAAACAACTAGTATGATTGTGGGTCAATTCGAGGTTTCCTGCTCCACATTAAAATGTCCAAGCAGAGGTCACTTTTTATTTATATGAATACAAACTTGATTCAATAAGCGCACCTACAACCAGTGATTCGGATTTTCTCTTGTTGCGGGCGGAGGGGTAACGCACAAACATCTAACACAAATAGCCTTCATTGTATGACATGATATCATGGTCTGATGACGCCAGCACTTTCTCCACTCAGTCTCAGGGCTAGCTAACTGTGGAGGTAATGGGTTGTATAAGATGTTTCCTCTAACGCGTGTATTAAACTGTCAGAATTGGACTGTAAGGATTGAATATAAGGGTAAACTTTACATCTACAAGTAGTACTCGATGTTAGTAGTGTGGTGTGGTGTAAACAAACTTTTTAGATCATCATGTATCAGTGGTGTTGTAATGCAGTCTAAATGTCAATGCAGTGGATTGTTGTATGGTTGATAGTCTGTCAGTCAGTCATCACTGCTAATTAATCATTCATGCCAACTATCTACACAGTCAAAAAGTGTTAAACCTTCAGTAGATTGCATCCATCTAACTAGCTCTATCTCTCTTTCTCTCTGTCTCGTCAAGGGAGACTTAGCCTGAGATATCCAAAGCCTCAGGATGGTCGGGGGTGGGTGTCTTGCGCTGCGGGTTGGCCACCCCTCCGTACACCTCTTGAAATGCTCCCATATGACCGGGCGTCTTACATAGCCTCTCCTGAGGAAGTCCTACTCACTGCCTTCACGTGGCGGAGGTGTTTTTCACCAAAGTGAGAGGGCAAAAGCGGATGCCCGGCGCTCTTCACCGGGTTGACTGTCCATTGGATGACAGTCTAGGGGAGATGGCTAAACCCTGATTCCAAACCTCCAACGACTGGCGTATGAAGCTCACCGGCAGACGTATGGACAAAGGGCTTATTGGATGCCCTGGATGACTGGCCCCATTCAAAAAGGCGAATGAACCGGACTCCGGTCACCGGCTGCCAATGGATAGTGGACTCCCTACTCCACTCCTACTGCCTTGTAGGTCACACTTGGTTGTGTAAAGGCTAGAGCTGCACTCTCAAACAAAAGGCCGAGCGATTCTGGGGACATCACTCGTACCCAATTCCCATGAAACTTCATGGTTCATGAAGCCGGCTCATCCTCCCGTAGGAGACAGCCGAAGTAAAGTAAAGTAAAGTAAGTATATCCTAGGGAGGAGAATTTCAGGATCTTTGAGAAGAATATTCTTCGCAACAACGCTAAGAGTAGTGTTCTCCAGTCGTCCATTGGTATACAGGAGCCTTAAGGAGAATATCTCACATCTGACCACTTTTATATGCATATAATAGTCAACCTGTTGCTGTGGAGTCAGGTACATTGGTCGTTCGACGCGTATCCTGTCTAAAAGGATTCGAGAACGCTATCCCTCATGGCTACGAAATGGTACTATTGACTTTATAAGGAGTGCGGTCATCGAACACCTTGTCAGCGCTAACCATTCCTTCTCTCTGTTTTTGTCTTATTATAAGGCGGTTCGATAAAACAGGTCTCAGTGGGCACAGTATCCCATTGTCTTAGTTATTCCTATGCACATTACAGTATCGGGCTCACCAGTTTGAAGGTTGGCGGTATAGACCTTCGCGCACAGTACTGGGTATATTTACGCAAGCTCTTATACCAACAACGTCTAATGTATTTGTATCTCGCGTACGAAAAGCAAAGCAAAAGACAGTATTTGATCGTACAAATTACGCGATATATTTCGGGACCAAAACGAGTTGTCAGACGAACGCTTAGCTGGCTAGTGGTCGTGCACGAACGTGACACGACGGAGTACCAAATGGCGGGATTGTTTAACCGAAAGCCTTCAGCTAAGCAAGTCGACTTTAACAGTGGTGGTCAGCATCCAATGTTCAGTGATGATTGCTGTGGTCAATAATTTTGGGAAATTATTTACCGCTACACTGTGTATTCAGGGTCAAAATGCTTTTCTTCATGCAGCCGATCTGCGGAATTAGGTACATTCTTCAAATATGTCTGCAGAATTTCATGGATGGTGGAGGTAATGAGCATTGGTGAGATTGAGCAACTCTGTCTAGTTCTACTGTTAGTTTAAAACAGTAGTGATTGCTGGTTGTATGTTCTCACTCTACGTGTTCGCCTAAAGAAATGTTGGAATTATTTATACCAGTATCGCTGAGATTTATATGCATAGTTTTTGCATATAAAGTAAGGTGATTTCTCTACGAAAATAAAAATAAAGGATCAAACCACTGGATATACAATACGCGAAGTATTTTTATGAGTGTATATACAAATAAAGTTTTCCACTAATTATTGTTTTACGACAGGTGTCAGGGTTGAGATACTACCCGGGCGGCTGAAGCGAAGTAGGTGGTTGTCTTAAAAGACAAGTTTGCATGTCTTTTACGTGAGGTCCGATCCATGAGGCGGCAAAGCAGAGTCAACGGTGAGGTCCCTAAGATTACCGATGACCGAAACAGATCCGTGCACCATTCGTTCCTTTCAGACTATGAAGTCTATGTGCGCACTCTACCTTTGGGGTTGGGGTTTTCCAACTCTCTTAGATTGATATTCAAGTACCAGTATCTTGAATATCGGTGAGATGCTCACTGGCGACTGTCCCTATCCAGGTAGGTAGTTACCTGGGCTTCTAATGGGAAGTCGTGGTCAGTAGGGTGCAGCAGGTCGAGTGTGAGGACAAATGCTCATCGAAAACATTGGCTAGCGGTCGTGCTGTATCATGAATCGGCACAAGTTAGAATTCATGGGCCATTGGATCGGTCCCAGTGGCTTAATGTTCTACGAGCTCGCCTTGTAACCAGAAGGTCCCGGGTTCGAACTGCAGTCGGGTGGGTGGATACTGTTGAAGAGTCTCAAACTAGAACGAAACAGGTGTCCAGTACTACCAGGTTTTCCAGTGGTTCTCTAACCGATATCAGCTCATGATGAAATCCTGTAACCAATCTGTTAAATTGACTTCCATATCCAACAATCCAATTATGAGCTCCGAAAATTTGCCTTAGTCCTCGTACTTTTGTGTTGACATCACTGTATGCGTTAAGGCAGTGAAAAGAATTTTCCTTGTCAAAGTTTAAAACTTGTGACCACATGCGAGTGTTCAGAGGAGAAGACCAGAATCATTTATGGATAGGGAAGTCGACCAGAGGGAGGATAAAGAAATTTAAAGTTACAAGACTGAAAAACAGGTAGTCGTAAGTTAGAGTTATTTCACGGTAGAATTTGTAGAGTTTAAATGAAAATAAAGTATGCTTCAATCTTCTATAATTTTGTGCTGAATCGTTTACATTCTATCTAACTAGCTCAGAGTAATGATTAAAGGCTTCATTGGTTGGCATAACTGTTTAGATGACACCAAACAGTGTCATCACTTACACTTTTTTCTGTTACAATTTTTGTCCAATACGGTAGTATATCATGACAGTTAATAGCTTCAACACATCCATGAAATCTCGTTAAATAATCAACCAATTCACTTCCTGTGCTTAGTTGGGGGTTCCACCATGTCCACACTATTTATTTTATGCACTACTTAGTCTGTCACTATGTAGCTGCTACATTAAAATTTGTTCCTTGAACTAATTTACTTATTTTTTTTTCACAAAGGAATTTTATTCGATGGTGTCCTACCTGGTGAAAATCACTGGTGGAGTTACCTATATGCTCTAGTTGTACTTGTACTGTGTATGTCTATACTGCTGATTGGGAGTCAAATGTTCGCTCGAGCCTTATCCTTCATTCTTGCAGTAAGTATAGTATACATTACTTATATTTGTTGTTATTATTTTCATTATTCCCTTTGGTTCCGAATGGAACATAGGGCTTCAACAGCACCCCTTCCATTTCGTCAAGTTGGCTTTAGTTTACTCCTTGGTTTCCTATCGTCTCTCATCTTCTCTGCACACGATCTCCTCTATGTTATACTCAGATGTTCAGCTCATCGTTTTATTACTCAGGTTTCACTGTAGTGGTCGTCTGGCGCGCGATGTCACTCGACTGGCCGTTCACTGTGTGTCCGTTCCATCTCTTTTTTATTTGACATATTTTTTGGCCAATAGGTTGTTGGTTGGTTCGTTCCCAGGCTTCTTTGTAGGTAATCCTTTTCAGCTGCCCATCTGATCTTCAGTATAGAGGGAAGTCGGTCGTTGTTAAACATCCACAGCCTGTTGGGAATGCTTCTTGTGATACACCAAGTTTCTGACCCATATAGAAGAACTGACTTAACATTGGTGCTGAAAATCTGAATTGCTTTTTGTTTGCTAAGTGCAGAGGATTTCCTAATTGACTGCAGAGTGATAAAGGGTTTGCCTCTCCTATCCCATTACGGTTTTAACATCCTTATCCGTGTTGTCGCCTGTAGTTGAAACGATGTTTCCCGGATAAGTGAAGGAAATGACGTCTTTCAAATTCTTCCTGTCGATAGTAATTGATGCTTCTTGTTGTTGGTTGGTTGTTGTCATCACCTCTGTCTTCTCTCTCTCTCTCTCTCTCTCTCTCTCTCTATATATATATATATATATATATATATATATATATATATATAGTTCCCAGTGGGACATAGGGCTTCAAGCTAGAGCTTTGGAGTTTCGGTAACAGTGGTTTGTATTTTTACCGGATGCGGTTGCTAGCCTCATGCCCAATCTTCACTCTTCACCAGTCTTGTTACTGGCTTAGCGACGTAAAGGAGTTCGTCGGCTGGGAATCGAACACCGAACCACATGCGTGGTTGGCGATCATTCTGCCACTGTGCGTATATATATATATATAACTCAAAACCGTATTCTCTCTCTAATCAACTCAGTGACCATATGAATGCTCTTGTATATTTATGTGTCACAGGTAAAGTGTAACAGAAAATTTATTCACCACTCTGAAATTCGATCAACGTTAATATTCTTCACTTACCACTGTGCTAAAAGTGTAATTAGTACACCGAGTTCACACTGTTGACGTAGATATCTGGCGTGTCATTTAAGGTGACAATTATTATTCAAACTTATGACTTGAGAGCCAAGTTGCTGTCTATAGGGAAAACATCTTGGACTGATAAACAAAATTTGTGTTGGGTCACTTCAGTATTTTAAATTTCCTTTTAAACTTCAGTGAATTCCAAACGCACGAAACCATGATTAGGCGCGTGAAATAAATAAAAGTGGCATTCAAACCCACAAACTCATTTAGTAACAAGCTTTGTCGGTTAAAGGATCAATCTTGTGGAGCCTTTAAGACAAAACAATTTAGTTTATCTAATACCCTGCCTGAAATGATTTTCAGGTCAAATACAATCAGACTAGCTGAACATAAAAACCTAGCAAAATCTAGATTGGTTGACCCGAATAAGATAAGAAATCTAGAGAATAGTTCAGGAATAGCACTACATGCAGTTACACACATCCATACAATAGGATGGGATAGGATGACAGTTTTAAAATCTAATGTCACAGGTTGGAGGGTGAGATTGATTACTGAAGCTTTGTTTATCGAATCAACTGCAAATATGTGTAATAGGAATGGTTCAACACCTGTCCCTGATATCTGGAAAATTCTACCACTCCTACGATGGCAAATAGGAGAGGAGGACAAAGAAAAGTATAAAACTCAAGTTTCAAAGTCGTGTGATTACAATTGATATGATTATGAACAATAAATTTTGTTCGAAACTTTGTCATCCAGTAAATAATACTGTTTCACTGTTTGGTGGGAAAGGCTAAACGCTCAGACATAGTCGTTCTAGCTGGTGACTTTAACGCTCAAGTAGGGAAATTGTGTCAATCTGAGAAGGATGTCGGTGGCACCTATGGAGCTCCGTGCCAGCGAACCGACAACGGTGACCGTCTCCTACAGTTCTGCTCTGATAATCATTTGTTTCTTGTAAGCACTAACTTCAAACACAAGGAGAGACACTGTTTGACTTGGAGACCCCCTTCATCAAACCAACGCTGGACACAAATAGACCACATAGCAATAAGCTATCGTTGGCGTGGGTCGGTAGGAGATTGTCGCTCCTTCTGGAACACGTGCGTAGATACCGACCATGCACTGGTCCGCGCTCGGGTGTGCTTACGACTGAACGGACGTAGGAAACAGCTGGCGGTAAAACCATCACGTCCCCAGCTCGATCAGGAAACTAAATCCGTATTTCAGGAAGAACTAGCTAAACACATATCTGTGTTCGACAGCTGTGCTCACCCTGAAGAAGCTTGGAAAAATATCCAGGCAGCCATAGATACAGCTGTAAAAGCTGTGAATAAGGTAAACCCAAAGGTGAGTAAAAACCACTGGATCTCCACCGCCTCATCCGAACTGATAGATGCTAGAAGACTTATTCCGGCGAGCTCCGAATTCAATGAGGAGCGAAAGCTGCACAAGAGGAAACTTACGAAAAGTCTCCGCAAGGACCGTGAACAGTGGTGGGCGACAAAAGCCAAAGAGATGGAGAAAGTTTGAGGATAGGCAACACCAGGCAACTCTTTGGACTCATCAGGGAAACGGGTGGGAGAAGACAAATCATTAGTGAGACAATCTCGGAAAAAAATGGCACTATAATTAGCTCCAGGATAGACGACTGGATCGTTGGAAAGAGCATTATGAGGAGCAGTTTAATTTGCCCACAGCCACGCTCAACCTTCCGAGCATCCAACACCTCCCTGAATGGGATATAGACACAGGTCCTCCGTCACTAACTGAGGTTACTAAAGCTGTCACCAATCTGAAACTAGGCAAAGCAGCGGGACCTGATGGAATGACGCCAGAGGTATTTAAGTACGGTGGAGACAGCTTACTGTCCGGATTAACTGAGGTACTAGGCAGCGTCTGGGAATCAGAAGAAGTCCCATCGGGTTGGTGTAAGTCACTGATTATCCCCATATACAAGAAGGGAGACAAGTCTTCCTGTGATAATCACAGAGGGATTAGCTTGACTAATATAGTATCTAAAGTCTTAGGCTCAATAATCATGCGTAGACTGAGTGGTGCTCGGGAAGCACAAACACGAGAGAGCCAGGCAGGCTTTAGACCAGGAAGAGGGTGTATTGATCATATCTTCACCCTCCGACAGATTCTAGAACATAGGCATTCCTACCGGCGTCCAACAGTCATTATATTTCTTGACCTAAAGGCAGCATTCGACTCTGTCGATCGGGAAGTTCTCTGGAGATGCTTGGCTGTAAAGGGAATTCCAAGAAAATATATTGCACTGATTAAGGCACTCTACTCGTACTCATACAGCCAGGTGAGGGCTTACGGCGAGCTGTCATCTGAACTGATGACGACCAGTGGTGTCCGTCAAGGATGCCCATTATCTCCTTTTCTATTCAACTTCATCATAGATGTGTTAATGGACTTAACCCTAGGTGACTTCAGCGACTCAGGGATTGACTTGCTACCGGGGAATAATCTCGTTGACTTGGAATATGCAGACGATATAGTCCTTCTAGGCGAAGACGCTGACGAAATGCAGAGTCTTCTAAACACCTTGAGCCGCAATCTACGAATGTTTGGCATGCGATTCGCTCCCGCCAAATGCAAGATGATGTTACAGGACTGGACTACATCGACGCCTAGTTTAAAAATAGGAAGTGAAGTGGTAGAGCACGTTGACCGCTTCACTTATTTGGGAAGTACCATCAGCCCCAACGGGCTGATCTCTGACGAAATCTCAGCACGAATACAAGGGGCTCGTTTCGCATTTGTTAGTTTACGCCGACTCTGGCGTAGACGAGATGTTCGACTATCGACCAAAGGGCGGGTGTACTGCTCATCAGTCCGCTCCGTCCTCCTTTATGGTTGTGAGACCTGGCCACTGAGAGTGGAAGACATGAAAAGACTAGCTGTCTTTGATCATAGGTGCCTGCGTTCTATTTCCCGTGTAAAGTGGCATAATAAGGTGAGCAACATGGAGGTTAGGCGTAGAGTTCTAGGTAAACAGGGGAAATCAATCGACGAAGTCGTGAAGCTACAAAGACTGAGATGGTTAGGACATGTGTTACGTATGCCAAGCCATCGCCTCCCTCGACGAGCAATGTTAGCGGATATAGGGTCAGGCTGGAAAAAAGCTAGCGGCGGTCAAACAAAAACTTGGCATCAGTCAATGAAATCCACAACAGTTGGTCTAAGCCACGTAGGAAGGTGTAGACTTCCAGGCTGGGGTCCTCGGGACGGTAAAAATCTATGGTTGGAAACAATTGGTGACATGGCTCAAAATCGTTCTCAGTGGCGCAGATGCATCCACTCCCTGTGACTTATGATCTTCAATGAAACTGTTTTGTATTTCTTTATTACTCCTTTGTCTCACACCTCTGCTCACTGTTTCTATTATGCTTTTCTTGTACTTTCTTCTCTTGCTTCGCGTGCTACACGGAATGTGGCGACTTGAACTTCCGCACATTTGTGCAAAGTTCTATGTCGAAAACAGACAGTGTGATACATCTAATAAACAAACTAATATGGAATTCCTTTTAAACCATTTGAACTATCTGGCTTTATAAACTCCCTGAAGTGTAATAAACGGGAATGTGGGAGGGGGAGGCGGCGCAAAGAATAGTGACACAGAGAAACATGTCGGTTGAGTGGATATGGGAGAATACCAAAAGTGAATGCATCTTTGCCACTGAGAACAATTTTCAGTCATATCACCAATGGTCTCCAGCCAATGGTTTTTGGAATCTCGAGGATCCCAGACACCTGCTTAATAATAATAATAAATAATTTTTCCTTCACGTTCCTAGTGGAACATAGGGCTCCAAGC